TGAATAAATGTAGATTGTTAGAGCAAAAATTAATATAAGACCTGGTCTTATTTTCAGGGAAACACGGTAGTAGTTTACATCACAACTCTCTTCCAGACTCTAGAATTGGAACAGGTGTCAAATTTCTCATCTTTGTACCCTCACCTGTGCCTGCTCACAGGATGCCCAGAAGTGCTGAACTAGATGTTTGTAATCTTAAGCAGCTGGGGGTTTTGTTTGTTCTGTTCTTACTTTTAATGCTAAATTGCAAACTCTGCCAGGGAGTTTAATAACATAACCAGTTTGCCACAGCTGTCTGAGCCTGTCTTAGCGGTGGCATCTCCTTGCCCAGGTTGGAGTGAAACCGCTTAACTCCCTGGGTGGGGAGCAAGCTTAGGCCTGCCCGGGGTCCCCTACCTCCCTGCCGGGAAATGTGGCTCTGTCCTCGCCCTCCAGTGTGCCCTTCGGGTTTTGTGGGTTAATGGCATGGACACAGCCCTGCTTAGTTAGCAACCTGAGGAAGGCTTGTGTGGGGCTGGTGAGAGTGCAGCCGGGGCTGACGAATTACAGGTCTCTGCTTTGACAGTAGAGCTGCACAGCTCAACATAAACTGCTTCACCAGACGGTTCCTAAGGTATAAAGCCTGACTTCACCGATTCCAACCTAAAGAGGAAATTGAGAGCAGTGGGCACCTTTAAGAGTCTCTAGATTACAAGCCTGTGGGAGCACTGCTCTTGAGCAGGTTGACTTTTAAATGTATATTGAAGTGTTTTCTCTAAGGCTAGAATTAGGACCCAATGAGGAAAGCAGTGTGTCTGATGTTACATTGAAACAGCCCATCATTCTTGGGCTACCGGGGGAGGCATTATTTATTATTTCCTTTTTTTTCCTGTGTTTTTCACATTCCTATGAATATGGTAAAAAGAGTCTCTTGGACTTTTTAAAACTTCAACTTGTATTAATAATTAACATGGTTATACTCTGCCTTCCTACACAAATAATAACTACCTTGTATTAAAATATTCTATAGGAACATAGTAAAAATATTGAAATTGTTGTTAATAGCCAAAGAGCTCTTAAAAGTCAGTAGAGAAAGGATGAACAACACAATAGGAAAGTGAACAAAGGATATAACTCAGCAGTTAACAAAAGAAGATTAAATGGCCAATAAAAATATGAAATATGTTTACTTTCACAAATTGAGATGTATTGATAATTAAAACATTAATATAAATTTTTACCTATCAAACTGAGCAGCTTTCAAAAGAATAAAGTTTAATAGTGAATTGGTGGGAAGATGTGTGTACTGTTATGATGCTTAATGCTCGGGGGAATCATAAGCCAATGTAATCATTCTTGAGAACATTTTGGCCATAAAAAAAAATTTTAAGCCTTATCATTTCACTTCTAGGAATTTAATTTTAGGAAGGTATCAAGGATATTTACAGTGCTAGAGCTTCAAAACTGTTGATCACAATATTATAATAGCAAAAGTTTTTAAAAACATTTTAAGGAAAGAAACCTAAATGCCTTTATAAGTTCTGTTTTATAATGTGTTTATCGTTTACAATTAGCCAGACAAGAATTAACTTAAAAAATTAGTAAAAAGTCATTTATAATGAGTCAACTTTTGACTAGTTATTTAACCATTTTCCTGTAATCAGGAAAGCAACAAAAGCTTAATGAGTTCTTATTTTAAATGAGTTTATTCCATAAGAACCTGTCCTCTGTTCTCTTCTTTCTCCCAACACTCTCTTCCTTGGCAACCTCTGGCAGCCACTTGGCTTCAGCCGTCCCCTATGAAGATGGCTCCTAACTCTGCATCTCCAGCCATGACCTCTTTTTGGAGTTCCAGACTCGCATTTCCAACTACCTTTTGAACATCTCCACTCGGACAGCCTACCAGCATGGCACTCAGTATGTCAAAAAAAAAAAAAAATGAACCCGTCTCTCCCAAACCTGTGCTCCTACTTCCATTAATGGTCTGTTAATCTCTACCAGACACAAACCCTCCTAAACTGTTTTTGATTCAGCCCTGCCCCTTGCTTATCTGTGAAAGCACCTAAGAGTCCTTTCCCTTTTCTCATGGTCATTACCCCTCCCCACTCCCCTTTCTTCCTGCTCCCTCTTGCCCCACCTTTTCCGAAACCCCTCCTCTCTATCAGACTGTCTTTTCTTTGTCTTTGTCTGTTGCTATTATGTTCTGGTCTTGCAGTGTCATTTTTATTTCCTGCTCCCTTTTGCAGATCCGTTGCATTCTACTTTTCATGTCTTTGAAGCAGCTGTGATCAGGCTGCTCCCCTGCCCAAATGATGGCTTCCTCCTGCCTGCAGAATAAAGGCCCATCTCTGCAGCCTGTCTCTTCCCCTTCTCAGGAACTCTGCATTAGCCAATCCGAATATTCCTTTTCACCAAGTATGACCTGGATTTTATGTTTAAAACTTCCCTTACATAATTCACTCTGTTTGAATTTCCCCCTTTTCCAACTTTTATACTCTTTGAGCAGAGCTCAGATACTTCTCCCATAAGTTGGCCGTGATCTGTCATAATGCTGTAGCAGTGCCTGCTCTTCCAGCCTTGGCTTTCTACCTGGAATTAGTGGAGCACATCTGATCCAATGCTGTTCTTCCAACTGGCCGTTGCCCGCCATGTGCAGACAGGGGCGCATGCCCAGAGACACTGCCTGTGTCCTTAGTGCCATGTCCTTGTTTTCAGTGCTAGTTCATGTCTGCCGTGATACAGATTTGAAAATTTTACCTCTCAAAACATAAAGTCTGAGTTTATTTATGGTGACCTTTGTTATTGATAACATTAAAGTTTGGTAGAAAAATCAAGAGATTTAAATTTTTAAATACATGTAGACTGCCCTTCCCCATTACCCACATTCAATATACTAATTCATGTAATGAACAAAATGTATAACTTTTTATAAAGTTTATAATTGTATCTTCTAGGAAATGAGATTTACATAAACTAAGCAAGTATAATTGAATTCCGCAGTTTTCAAAATTAGATTATTCTTACAGTGAATACAAACTTGCTCTTTGTCCGGTTCTTTTCGGTGACCTGTTTTTCCCCCTTTGAGCTAGATTCATGTAAATCTCAGAGGGGATAATGGTAGCTGTGTGCTGTGGGAGTGGATGGGGAAGGAGACGTAAGGGGTTTGACTATAGAGTTGGAAAACCTTAACGTGGTACATCTGTACTTGGGAGAACTGAGCATTACGCATGAAGTGCGTGTCACTCAGGCAGGTGGGGAGTCACTTCAGGGCCTGCTACCAATTTCAACTGTGCTCTCCAGTCAGGCTACAGACGAGCTTTCTTCCTGAGCTGGGATTAAGCAAGAATTTAAGGGGTTATTTTTCCTGCTAAACTGCCTCAGTTCATATTCCCACCTCTGCCACTTCCCGTGACCTTTGACAAGTTTTTTATTCTCCTTATATAGTTCAGTTTACTGATATCTAAAATGGAGAGATTAATTGTATCTACCTCATAAAGTTGTTGTGAAAACTAAATGAGATGGTCCATGCCCAGCATGTCATATGTGCTCACTCAATGTTAGCGTCAGTACCTACAGGGCAGTGGACTCTAAAGCGAAAGCAGTACGCATATATTTTATTTGGATACATTTTCAGATCGGAAACCTTTCCCCCTCGTTCAGAGGAAAAACGTACTTAGATAACTCATAAAATTTTACTTTTCTTAGGTTTAAATCAGTGTTTTAAAATAATTCAGTTCAAAAAGGAAAATTTTTTTAAAAAGTTTCCTGGTTCAACTTCATATTGCATACAAACCTTCCAGTGCCAGAAATAAATGTCTTCAGATTCCAAAGAAGTATCGCAAACCTCTTCCTTCCTTTTCTTCTCAGAGTAAAAAACAAAATTATGGTGTTTCTTATTTTAAGAACATCCTCAATATGTATATTTTCATAGCAAAAAGGAAAAAGCAGTATTTAATTGTTTTGCTTTGTTTAAATAGGCTTTTCTCAGTGAGGAATTGAAATATTTAAAGTTGATGTCTCACAGATGGCAGGTTAGGAACACGTCTTAAATTATACCACGGTCGACTGTACTGTTCCTTTTACAGGCACGTGTCTGACTCCTGTGTCCCCTACCCCAGCCCTACAGGAGTGTGTGGTCGCTCTAGTCCTGCTCCTCTGAGGAACAACACAAGGACAACCAGGGAGGCTCAGGCCATCCCTAACAAATCCCTGGAGATGGAGATACTTTAATTTCTCTTGATGGACTTTAATATATACTTCCTTATCCTAGAATTAGTACATTCAATGAAAATCTCTTGGAACACTGTCATCCTTTATAGACGTGTCTCAGTCCACTCAGGCTGCCAAGACAAAACACCAAACGGGGGCTTATAAACAGCAGGTATGGATTTGCTGCTCACAGTCCTGGAGGCTGGAAGGCCAAGGTCCAGGCGACCATGATGGTTGCCTTCTGGTGAGGGCCTGGACTTCTGGCTGTGTCCTCACGTGGTGGGTAGGGCAAGGATTCCTCCTATTATAGGGCACTAATCCCATTTGTGAGGGCCCCATCCTCATGACCTGAGCACTTCGCACAGCCCCCACCTTAAATACAGGCATCTTTGGTGGTTAGGATTTCAGCATATGAATCAGACCATAGCCCTGTGCTTTATCCTGTAGTATCCTTCATGGAAGTCCTAGAATCAGGAAGCTGCCTTCTTAAATGCCTTCCTTGTGGCCATCCCCACCCAGGACCACAAGGGTTCACTGTTGCTTACCTTTCACGTCCTATTCCTACCAAATTCACTTTACCTGTAACTAACTACCTCATTGTCATTTCACTGTTTTGCTCAGACCCTGCTTTTCTTCCCTTCACCTTTCTGAATCCCATTTGTCCTTTAAAGATAAGCTCAGGTCGTCTGTGGAGCTCAAAGCCTGCCCTTTTATTTTATCCCACACAGGTAGTTCTTTTTTTGTTTATTATTTGCACTACTCACTTTATCATTTGTGTGTGCCCGGTTTTTTCTTTCTTTCCAGTTCAGTTCAGTCCGTTCAGACAGATACCATGCTGACCTTTTTTGTAGTGATGGTAGGTATTCCATAAATATTTTTTAATTTGGCTGACTTTTTTTGACTAATAAGGCGCTTAAGCAGGTAAAGTCACATGTAGAATGAGTTGCTATTAGTCGCTTTACCAAGAGATGAGAAGGAAATAAACTGCATTTATTAAAAATCCTGTGAATAACAGTATGTTAGAGTCTTCTGTTTATTAAATACAAACTAAACAAAAACAGCAGGGCCAGCCAAGTGGCGCGTTGGTTAAGAGCTGGCTTGGGACATCAGAGGGCCCCGGTTCGCATCCCACATATGAGGGCCAGTGACACTGCCCTCCACAGCTAAGATGCTGAACAACAGCTCAACCTGGAGCTGGGCTGC